ATCCAGCGATCTTTCAATTCTTCCCATTACATGATGCAGTGCAGAATCGGTAGATCTTCCCGAAGTATATGCATGCTGATTTGGGTGAAGTGGGTTATGGACCAGAACTAAAGGTGTTTTAATGACCAGAACTTCAACCCTTATGTACCTCTCGCATAGCCTGTCCATCGTTTTCAACAGAAAGGATGTTAGGCTAATTGGTCGGAGAGCCTTTGGTAGGGTGTAATCCATCCTATGATATAAGACTGCTGAAATAATTATATTACAATCAAGTAGCCCATATCAAAATTGGAGACAGTCCGACTGAAAAACTATTCATCAAACGTGAAGTACGGCAGGGTTGTGTTTTGTCACCCACTCTTTTTAATCTGTACTCTGAAGAAATCTTTAGGGAGGCTTTGGATGACAGACAAGAGGGAGTAAGACTAGGTGGAGAAGTAATCAACAATATTAGATACGCTGACGCAGAAAATTTACAAGATCTCCAAACATTACTAAACCTAGTAGGTGAAGCAAGTTATCGGAGAGGCCTTAAAATCAACATTTCAAGTGGATGGCAGTTGGAAAGATCAATATAGATCAAGGTCTGATTTCTCTTAATGGAGAGGAGATCGAAAGGGTAAATCATTTCAAATACCTTGGCAGCTGGTTAAATGCAAATTGTGACTCTGATGAAGAGATAATAACCAGGATCGAAATATCACGTAAGGCTTTTATGACGTGGAAACCAGTTTTATGCAACAGAAACCTGTCGATGAATATTCGTAAGAAGGTCCTGAAATGTTATGTGTGGTCCATCCTATTGTATGGTTGTGAGACATGGACGTTAAAAACCACAATGCTAAACAAGTTAGAAGCATTCGAATTGTGGTGCTATAGACGAATCCTAAAGATATCGTGGGTTTCGCACACTTCCAATGAAGATGTTTTTAAATGATCAATTCAGAACGTCTGCTCATAAACACCATAAAGAGGAGAAAAACAGAATACTTCGGCCATATAATTAGAGGACCTAAATACCATCTACTTCGCCTTATAATACCAGGAAAAGTGGAAGGAAAGAGATGGATTGGTCGAAAGAAACTTTCGGTCGGCCATATAATTAGAGGACCTAAATACCATCTACTTCGCCTTATAATACCAGGAAAAGTGGAAGGAAAGAGATGGATTGGTCGAAAGAAACTTTCATGGCTGCGTAATATTAGACAATGGTGTGGTTCCACAGTAGAAGAAATATTTCGCGCAGCAGCCGACAGAAAAAGGTTTCAGGAAATTGTAAACATGATGACGACCAACGTCTGAATACGGACACGGCACCCAAAGTAGAAGAAGAATCCATCCTACCTGGTTTTGGTATGAAGACCACACGTACCTCTCTACACTTCCTAGGAATATATCTCACAGCCAAAGAGGCTCTGAATATTTCCTCGAGGTGCGGCAAAAGGATATCCAGTCCCCACCATAGTAAGACTGGATATATGCCGTCAGGCCCTGGTGATTTGAAAGGGGTGAAGCACAATATGGCCCATTTTACCTTTTCCTCATTAGTCATTGTTCTGACGAGATGCCAGACGTTTATTGGGTATGATTGCTTCTTCCATCCAGTTTGGTGCTGTTGAGACACTAGAACCGGGAAAGTGTGTTTTTATCAGGACCTCAGCACTTTCGCAAAGGTTGGAAGTTTTGTTTCCATCTTCCTTTATTAATATGCCGACATGCCAATGTGGGTCCTTTGAGAGCGCTTTTTGTAGCCTGGAAGCCTGCGAGAAATCTTCTATTTCCTCACAGAAGGTTCTCTAAGCAGCTCTTTGTCGTCTGTCTGCAAACTTTTTTAAACTCTCTGAGATTTGATTGATATGAATCCCAATCCTCTTTGAGTTTGGTGCGTTTTGCTCTAGTAAAAGCTGTTCTTGCTATCTTCCTAAGGTGTTCCAATTCAGTGCACCACCAAGTTTTGCGACTTTCCTGGACCATTCTTATTGTACAGAATTTTTTATAAGCATAGCTTATTTTGTTTTGGATATATACCGTATACCTTTCCAATTCTGTATTAGAAAAAAAAATTAGGCTAATATAGATTATATCGTTGAGTTGCGCCAAATGTAGGCAACCAACTTACAAAATTTTGATAGCAATTAGCTTTGAGTTTCAATAAACGAATTAAGTTTTCTCTTATTTACGTTTGTTTACTATTAATATTGGCTATGAGCATGTGTACTTGGTTGTATAATAATTTCCAGCCACTTCTAGTCTGTCAAAACGTAACTAACTTGGCAAAAAAAATTTACTTAATTCAATAGATAGTTCGGACTTGGATTAGCGAACCGACTATACAAATTTTAAGACAAATTAATAACATGGGAAATTAAAACCACAAATAAAAAATGCATTAAACATACAAATCTTACTATTCATAAAAAAGGAGATGAAGTGTACGAAATATAAAAGATTATCAGTAACTAGCATATTCAGCTAGTACAGACGGTTAATTAGAAATTTCAGTTAGAACGAGTTTGAAGAACAAGCCAGTTTTCGTAAAGGAAGATGTTATATGAATATATTCAGCTTTAAACAACTTATAGAAAAAAAAAAAGTTGAACACAAATCAAGAAGCCCATCTTGTTGACTTATGATAGATAAGTAAGGGTTGGGAATAAAGGAACTAGTGATAGGTAATAATAAATAAGTTTTACAAAAATTAATTGGTTTTATTTTTAAACAGCCTTATATACATTGAAACATGTGAAACAACTACTTGCTATTTTTAAACATGGAATATCACAGTGTTACATTAAAATTTTAAAATTAAGATATTAAGAATAACCCTTTAATTTTTTTTTAAATGCATTTCAGTTCATTAAAATATTTTCATTTAAGTACCTTTGTATAAACACAATATTCAAAAGGAAACAAAAAAATAATATCAAGTTCAATACTTTCGCTGATTATCTCATGCTAAAAAAGAATGTGGTTGTAGTTCAACTAAAAATTGTCTCGAGTTTCAATACTTTCGGTGTGGAGTTTATAAAACGTCTAATTTTTGAAATAGTGGGAGATAGCAAATTAAATATGGTGATTCGCCACTGTATCTGTCAAATATCACAAAGTGACAGTAGGTACTTGAGAGCATATCGTAAGTCCATGTATAAAATGATGACAGCAATTAATTTGAAATTCTAATTCCTGATTTTGATTTTTTTTTCTGGCGAAAGTAAATGTGTTTTTGTACATGCAAATATTAAGATTCGTTTTTCTTTGTATACGTCATGTGAGAGAGTACGTAATAATATTAATGTAGAAGTTGCAAAAATTGTACCATCTTCTGAGAATGAAGATAATGTAGATAAAATGACATTTTGACACGTGGTTGTCATCATCTGCCCAAAAATAATAAAAATAATTCTTACATGTATAAACATATGAAGAGATGACAAGATACATATATGTTGATGATAATTTCAACAAGATATTGAAACAGCCTCCTAATAATTTGTCAATGATATAAATACATAGTGAAGGTGCACAATTAGTAAAAGTACATTTTCCACTGTTTTATGTGAATCTAATCAAATTATTAAGCCGACTCCGTTTCAACATAATTTTGAGCGTTTCGTCGCATTAATTGAGTCAATCTACTTCTCATGAATTTTAAACCCTCCTAATCTAATCTTAATTTGCATTTGAAATATCGGATTGGTTTCAAAATCCAGCAAATCCAAGCACATGTTAAAATCAAATGCCAGCAAATCTGAGGCAACCAATCAGTCAGGTAAGAAAGTGACTTCAGTGAAAATGTTTGTTAGTGTTGTTAAAATCGTTAAAACGTTTGGTTGTAATAGAAGTTTGCCTTGCAAAATTTGTGTTGTTATTTGTTTGAATAAAATCAAAATAGTTATAGTTATAGAAAATTTCAAGGGGCACAGTCCAAAACCAGTAACTCCGGATAGGAGTCGAAAACGTTTTTCACAACCAGCTACTTGGAAAAGAACGGCTAAAAAAAAGAAAAGTAAACAAACCACTCTTATTTTTAACAAAAAAAAAGGCTAAATAGTAATTTCTTTTAGATACAAAGCTCATGATCGTAACCATCTTATAAACATACTACCAAATCATATAGATAATGTGAGATGTTCAACAGTTTCATCAAAATTTTTATGCACATGCAGATAAAATAGGACAAGATAACTATATAATAAAATTTTGCGATACAAAAAATATAAAACGGTCAGGACGACAAGTCTATATTTGATTTTTAAATTTTATTTAAAATTACGTATTTCCAGAATAATTACAAATGGTTTTTAATTAAGAAACATATCTTTTAACTAATAAAAAAATATGAATACTCATAAGCTTAACTTTCATACCAAAACAGTTTTTTTGAATTTCCCAACATTTGACCTCAGCGGGGTTTTGATACTAGACGACTCAATTTTTAATGGCGCCGCTTACAACAGAGTAGACAAGCTGAAGTAGACCATAGACATATAATGATCAGAAATTGGTACGAAAATTACAAAGATAGAGGTCAGACTTACTAAATAGTGACTTATTTGAACTGTGACGTTTAATTGTATACTTGTTTCTATAGAAACTTTTGCATCCTTGTCAATAATATTTCTTGAAAAATGCCTATGGCCTATGGATATCCTGCCTACACTTCGAAAAAAGCGAATAAAAATGTCAGAGCATCATAGACAACTTTTTTATGAACCTAACTTAGAAATTTTACTAAAAAGTAGATTAGACATAAGAAATGATTCAGTAAAAAAGATTCGGGTATAAAAATATATTATGTGAGGTGTTATGCTGTACATATGGATAGGTGACGTATCCAGCTTAAAACAGGGTCTTTGCCGAAATAGTGAAACTCACAACAATATTACTTTCAAGTTGAACTACGTATGATACGTATAATGTAAAAAAGGATTTTTCTTAAACTGTACACAATTACTATATATAAAAATGGACAACACTAAAATATATGTAAAAACGGTCGTCAGTCAAAATAATGTCGGTTATAATAAATAAAACTTATAATAAAATAAATATGTACATCATATATTAAATCTACTATTCATTCTCGGAAAAAATGTTTTTTCTCTTCTTCTGACGTTTCCTAGGTAGATCATTCTCGTCGTTGCTGAAAAGAAAATAAGTTAATGTTATTATTAACTTGAGAATAAAGAAAAACCAAACCTCTACGTTAAACATTAAGAGTGGAACCACATGTGTTTGACTGCTGAAGCTTTCCGCCTCCGGACATTGAGACTTAAATCTATTTTACGGCATTCTACTTGTAAATCCACACTTCTTTAGAAATTAAAACAACAAATGAATATATTGGTTCATATTTATTTAGAAATACTTTGGTAGGTGATCAAATTATTAAAGCTGCTTGGTAAAATTGAACTATTTATAGTAAAGATGCAGAACATGCTTAAGTTGTCATATTTAAGAAAGGTAAATAGAATGACAAACAATGCAAACGCGACAATCAGGAGCAACTTTCTGCGATTGCTGTCATAGAATGACTATACGCCACTATGTGAGTTAAAAATGCAAAAAAAGTCGCAAAAACTTTCTAGATCCTATTTATTGGGAGGATCAGTGCCATTGGCTTATGTTCTCTTCTTAACGATCCCTCTCCCTTTTTTCCTGTCTTAGTTTTTCGCTGCCATTCTCTCACTTCTGCGTTTTGTAACTTTCAACTTCTTGTAGCCACGTTGATCTTGATCTTCACCTTTTCTTTCGTGACCTAGCGATCTAGTTCTACATCTCTACGTTTCTTTATTTTGGTCGCGATATCTTCTTTTCAGTACTTTCTTAATTTCTGCATTTATTCTGCCTCTATATTCATTTTGATCTGTGTTGATTGGTACCAGCATATCGTCCTTGGATATCATCTGACTGTGTGGATTGATGATCTCCAGCGAATATTAGTGATTATGTAGTCAATTTGATTTCTAGACCTATCTCCAGGACTTTTCCAAGTATAAAGTCGGTGTACATGGTGTTTAAAACGAGTATTCATAATAAAATAGTTATTTGTGATAGCAAACTTGATTAAGCGGTTTCCTCTTTCGTTTTTCTGACCTATGTCGAACTTTCCCGGTACATTTTTTAGGTCGTTAAGGTTTGCCACATATTAAGATTAGCTCATATATATATATATATATATATATATATATATATATATATATATATATATATTCATTGTTAATTCGATGCCCAACATATTTTCTTTTATTTCTGGCTTTCCTTCTCCGGTTTTGCTTATTGTCAGTCTTACGTACTTGATTTCTTCAAATTCTGAACTCCCTATTTTTATTTTTTTCTGTGATTTTTTTGTCTTTTTTTTTATTTAATTTGAGTTCCATTGTCTCTCCTTTCTTTTTTATTTCTTCTAGCACTTCTTCCATTATATTTCTGTTCTTTGCAATAATACCAATCTCGCCTTCATAAGCGATTATTTGTCCAACTTTTGTTCTCAGGTTCCCTTTGTTTATATTTCGTAGTACATACTCTAAATGAAGCATAATGAGTTCATCTGTCTCCAATCTTTGCGTCTTTATGCTAATTTTGGTAGTTATCATTGTCATATTTATTACTTTTCTGAGTTCATGTGGGGTTTTGCATTGTTTCAGTGCTATCATTAGTGCTTTCCTTTTATTCAAATCAAATTAAATGCCTTAAGTATATAAATAGTATTTCCAGCTCTAATTTCTATTCATTTGATTTTTCCATTATTTGTTTTATTGTGTGCACACTATTTATGGTTGTTCTTTCTTTGAATGCATATTGGTATTGTCACACTCTATTCTTCATGATCTTTGAAAATCTTCTTCCTCACAAATGTGTTGGTCTCCCTCTTCTATGTATTGCTATTACCTGCCCTAGCCCTACGTCACAATTCGCTGGTATCTTCTCTTCTTTTCATATACTTTTCAATAGCGTTAGAATTTTTCCCTCAACTCCCTTCCTCTGTATTTTATAAGTTCCATGTTAATTTCATCTTTATCGGGAGCTTTACCATTTTTACTCCCCTGTATTATTTTCCATAATTCCTCTATTGTTGGGTTTTTTGAGATTTAAATGTCTAGTTCGTCTGCTTCTTCGCAGATATGATTGTGACATATGAGATCGTTGTAAAGAGGGTCCTAAAGAAGTAAGTAATGAAGGGTTGGGACGTTATCCAAAAGAGCCTTAGGCAAGTAGCATCCAAACGGCTTATCTAAAAAGGTTATAAGACGTCTCGTTAAAGAGGAGAGACGGCGAGAGGTAGAATGACAGAGAAAAATCAAACACGGATAAGATACAACCTTAAAATCACCAACGGATTTTATAAAATACAAAGAAAATTCATAAATACATATGAACAAACAAACAAACAAAAGAGAGTTAAAACTAATAATAGACTACATCATAAGAGTAAAATGAAAACTAAATTGGCGACAGTAGAGAAAATACATGTAGATATAAATCAATTAGTGCTAAATGGTGCAGTCATTGAACAGTTAATGATATTATGCATCTGATGCCATCTTCGAATTCTGAAGATATTGTTGACAACATAAACTACCAACAAGGAGGTGTTTAGAATGGCGAATATAAGGAAGGAACTGATAAACGTAATTGGCTTATGACCAGAGAACCTAAATACCAAATATTGCGACTAATTATTCAGAAAAATTTGGTTACGTAACATGGACGACAATGGACATTAAGGTGAAAGATCTGTTCGGCTCAAAGAGAAGAAAACAATGTAATAATGTGGGATTGCTTAAAAACTTGGGCATGAAAAGAACAGAAGAAGAACATACGACATATAAAACATGAATGTGAAGTACAATTACAACAACGCAGGAATTGGAAAATACATAAATTGAACAACACTAACACAGCTGCAACAGAAAGAAAAGCCTTCAAATAAAGATAAAGTCTCGTTCTAAAGAAAAAAATGTATGTAGAAGAGAAAATATTGACGTGGTAAAGACCACCGACAGCAGATGGATGTAAAAATAGAATAGGGCGAAAATAGCATCCATGTATATCTGTTATCTTTTGTATATAAATGTATATCTTTTAAGCTACATATTCCTTACCTTGGTCTCTTAAAATCATCATCTCCAGACTCTTTTAGGGATGAATTTTCGCTCTGTAAAAAAATGTTTTAAATTAAGAATTACTTACTATCTTTAATGGATTGGGTTTTAAATTAAGGATTATTTACTATCTTTAATGGAAATTAACCACAATTTTAGTTGAAAATACGTTTATTTTGGCGTTCAACGTGTGGTTAGTTCCCATTAAACTTAATATAATGTTAAAATATAATATAAAACTAAAATTAAATTAAAAAGCATTACCTTTTCCCTGTTTTCACAGATATTTTCATTACATTTACAACTGCCTTCACATGTTTTGCCCATCTTTCTGCATCCGCACCTGCCATCTTTGCAGTAAGTTTTACATGTGCAGCCACCTTCAGAAGATCTTTTAGACGGCCTTTCATCCGAGAATTCTAAAAAATATTTAAAAGATAAATAACACTCAGATATCATGTTTGAGTTTTTATAAAAACATGGTTAAGGGAACATCCATAAACTATGTCGTAAAAATGTTCGACTTTTTAATACCTCCTACCCTTCGTCGTAAAGTGTCGTTTACAGTCGAGGTTCTTCCTCATGTCCACGTCTTAACTACAACTCATGATCCCACGTTCCGGTAATGTTTTAAAAAATTCAATGTTGTTTCTGTATTTTTTAAAAATAAAGTACAAATGTACCATAAGAGCTAATAAAAAATTATATTTATAAAGACAATAGTGACAAATTGAAATACACCAAACGCAAATTTTTGAGAGTTAATACAGTTATACTGAGACAGTTGCCTCTATCGATACAATATATCACAAGAAAAGTGTTACCACAGAGTGTATTTGTAGTTTGTGTTGCATAGTTTAGAAACAATGTTTTCCTTCTTATAGTGCCGTGCACCTATAGTGCGTTGGCGAATTATCTTAGGGCCAGGCGTCTGCCTTTTGCGGCATGCAAAAGATCGCCAGTGTCATTTTTGCCTGTCCAGTTTTTTATGTTCCGTAGCCACATTTGTTTGCGACCTACTCCTCTCTTGACTTCAATCTTTCCCTGGATGATATAGTTGAGGGATTGCGTATTTTTTCCTTTCAGAATAATGCCGAGGTATCCAATTTTTCGTACCTTCATCAAATTGAGTAGTTCTCTCCCAGTATTTGCCTTTCTTAAGACTTCCTCGTTTCTCACTCTATCTGTCCATGGTATGCGGAACATTTTTCACAACGCCCACATTTCGAAGGCCTACAACATTAATGGAAGGTACTTTTAACGTCCATATTTCCATGCCGTATAACAATATGGACCAACATAGCATTTAATCATCCTGTAGCGGAGATTGAAGGAAAGATTGCGATTATATAGTAGCGGTTTAAATTTGATAAAAGCTTGTCTTGCTTGTTCGGTACGGCATTTTATTTCTTGTTGAGGATCCCATTGGGCATTCATCATCATTCCCAAGTATTTAAATATTTTTACTTGATCGATTGGAGCACTATCTACTTGCAGTTGTATTCTTAAAAGGGCGTTTTTTCTTATTGCCATGCATTTAGTTTTTCCAGCATTTATCTTCAAGCCATATATTTTTCCTATGATGTTTATTTTATTTAACATCAACTGCATATCATGTTCGTTGTCTGTTATTATCGCGGTGTCGTCGGCGTAACGAATGTTATTTATCGGAAATCTGTTTATCTTTATTTCACACTCAGAGCCTTCCAGTGCCTTGCAAAAATGTTCTCCACATAAAGATTGAAGAATATAGGACACAAAATACACCCTATCGCACCCCTCTTAAAATTTCAAATTCTTCTGTGTTAGTTGATTTGTTCAGTCTCACTCGTGCTTTTTGATTCCAATAGCGTTGTGTAGCATTTTTATCATTGCGTCATATTTTACGGTGTCAAACGCTTTTTCATAATCGAGGAATGTTATGACTATATCCTTTCGTTGATCCATGCAGTTTTGTACAAGCGTAATCAAGCAGAAAGCTGCTTCACGTGTACCCAGTCCGTTCTTGAAACCAAATTGTGTCTCACCGCTTAGATCTTCCAGCTTTCTGAACATTCTTGTGTGAAGGATGCGAAGAAACACCTTAAGCAAATGGCTTATTAAACTCAATATTTTCCAATCCTTAGAAAACAAGTTTTCAAAATAAAATTAGTATAAAAGTAATCAAGTTAACTTTTTAATTATTTTGTTAATTAGTTGAGTGAATGTATAAAATACATTCAGCCGCATTGTAGAGACCGACCGAATGTGAGCTTTTTGGCCGAAGCCGATGCCGAAGTTCGGCCTGTAGGATACCTTCGGCTAAATTACTAGGCTAGGTGACTAAAAATATACCTATTATATGTTAATAATTTAAATAATGTGCATTATATTTTTATTAACTGATAAGTGATAAACAAAAATATGAAATTATGAGATAAAAAGTCAAACATTTATACATTATTTGGTAATAGAAGAGATAATAAAAATAAATAACATTAAAACACATTAAAGCAAGTGAGTATTACTGATTACTGGATCTGGTAGCTAATATTAGAAATCAAACATCCTAATATTATACGTAAGAAAAATAAGCTTGTCAGCATTTTTTCCTAACAAATTAGTTCTTTTGTCAGCGTATAGTTGCCCAGCAGAGCTGAATAACTGCTCACTAGGTACACTCGTTGGTGGTGCCGATAGAAATTTTTGGCTGCAGTTTTCAAAGAAATATAGGGACTTGATTCCCAATAATGAAATATGTCGGCACTTCTTAAAAGCAAAGCCTCTCGTCAATACGAATCTAGGTAATCTGCATTGGGATCATTGTCATTATGAATTTCTTGTGTTGTATCCAAAACGGCTGTGACAAAAATATTCTATAAATTCCAAAGACTATTGTTTTCTAGATCTACTACATGTGTAGTTGTAGATGATGATGTTGAAGCGATAGCCGTAGGAACTTTATTTGTATAACTAAACTTAGCTATCAGATTCACGTAACAATTTTAAATTCGATAGACAAATTTAACATTTAAATAGACAAATTAAAATTCGATATTTCCAAAGTTCGTACCGAACACATGAATATCGAGGAACGAGAAAAAATATTAAAGCTAATCAAAGAATTTTCAGATATATTTCATGTAACAGGCAATATGCTATCCTTTACTAGTAAAGTAAAACATATTATTAAAACAGTTAAGGATATACCTATTTACTCGAAATCTTATAGATATCCTGAACTCTATAGAAAAGAGATACAGAACCAGATTCAAAGTATGCTGGATCAAAATATTATCCGTCCCTCAGACTCACCATGGTCATCCCCAATTTGGGTAGTTCCAAAAAAGTTGGACAACTCCCAAGTACCTAAATATAGGATCGTAGTTGACTATAGAAAATTAAACGAAATTACTTTAGGAGATCGATATCCCCTACCTAATATTTCCGATTTAATTGACAAACTAGGTCGTTGTCAGTATTTCACAACTTTAGATCTTGCTTCGGGATTTCATCAAATAGAAATGGCCGAAGAAGATATACCTAAAACAGCTTTTCGAAAACGGTCACTAAGAATTCCTTAGAATGCCCTTTGGATTGCGTAACGCCCCGGCAACCTTCCAAAGATTAATGGATAATATACTTCGAGGAATATAAAATGGAAAGTGTCTTGTGTACTTAGACGATATTATAGTGTTTATTACTAGTCTCCAAGAACACCTTACAAATCTAAAAGAGTTTTTAAAAGATTAAGAGAGTCAAATCTTAAAATTCAGATTGATAAATCAGAATTTTGAAGAAAAGATGTTGCATATCTGGGACACATTGTTACACCAGATATCGTAAAACCCAATTCAGATAAAATTAAAGCTATAGTGAACTTTCCCATTCCAAAAAATACTTAACAGCTAAAAGGTTTCTTAGGATTATTGGGATACTATAGAAAGTTTATAGAAGATTTTTCAAAATTAACTAAGCCTCTAACTTCTCGTCTTAAAAAAGCTGCAATCATATATATATATATATATATATATATATATATATATATATATATATATATATATATATATATATATATATATAAATATATTACGTTTTTGGTACTCAGAAATAAATAACGATAGACGTATTAACACATTGTTGGCGTCAGAAAGTAAATATCCAAAGTAGATATCTCGCATTTGGCACTAAACGTGTTAAATGAAATAAAAAAATTTTTAACTGAAAATAGATACTCACTAAGGGAAGTTTTTTGTAATTTTTGCTTTTCCTCTAATATTCTCTTTCCTAAAGGAGTTTTTCTCCAGTCGGGATCGTTTTCAATATCATCATCATCAATCCCGAAGACATCGTCTTCACCTAATGAGTTCTGTAAAATAAAAAATAAATCATAGAGCAAGATAATTTAAAATTAATGGAATAATGCCGACTTATTAAATCAAATGAAACAAAATGTAGAAGATATCTACAGCGAAAAATAAGAGATAAAATTGGCCAAAGAAAACTGGATGAAAGTTGCAATGAAATGGTGAGAAAAGATGTAATTGTAACTGTATATATTTTGACGACACTTTTTAAAAAACTGTTACTTAGTTCTATACCTAAATACAAATGTGAAGTGTATTCACTTCTGTATAAGTTTTTTAAGAATATTTTTCTTAATGAGAACCAAATAAGAAAAGAATGGCAAATATATTAATTATATCAGAGTGGTTTGACAATGACAGAACTAATAATACTGAATCCTACCAAAATTATACTGATATTAACAAGAAAGTACTAAGGAGGGTAACAAAAATAGGGCATTACTTAAGACTGTTAAACAGCAGAAAATGTCCTGGGCCATATATTGAGAGTAAATCAATATAGAATACTACAACTAATTCTTTAATGCAAAAGAAGATTGGAGAGTTGTAGTAAGAAAACAAGTTTCTTGGCTAAAAACATCCGTGAATGGACTCAAATCGATACCAAAGCCAAAGCAGTAAAGAACTGTATTAAAGGTATTTTGAGATACAAAGGGCTGCTGTCATCAAAATACAGTAATCAGAAAGTTATACTTACATCATCAAATCTAATGGGCTCTGGTTTCAACAAATTTTTGTCCCTGCTCTTTTGTAATTCGCTTGGAGGAGTGGCATATACATAATTTACGTCAGGCTGTAACAATTTATACAAATTATTTAATTGATAAGGAAAATATAAAATTGCACAACACTTTTTTCGTAATTTGTCGTAATTTCAAAATAAACCAAGGCTGAGAATATGTAAATATTAGGAGGGACATATACTCAATAATCTTCTGCCAAAATGGCATATTTCTCATTGTTCGAGTTCCATCTTCGATATGGGCTTCCATTTTGGGGTTCTAGTACAGCGGCCCAATTTGATACTATTTTTAAGTTGCAAAAAAGAGCAATCCGTTATCTATTTGGTCTCAAACAAACAACTCATTGCAAGACCTACTTCAAAAATCACGGAATTTTGACGCTTCCATCTTTATTTATTTTGGAAACGGTTTGTTCGATTCGAAAGCATCTAAACATTTTTCTCGATAGACCTGACCATGGCTACTCCATTAGAAATTCGGATTGTAACGTTTATTTGCCGATCCCGTCCACTCAGCTAGTAAAGAATTCTATTCTATATCGTGCAAAGAAACTTTATAATCACCTTCCAAGAGAAATTAAATCCGCAACATCCTTCATTAAGTTTCGTAAGGTGACAAAAATCTATCTCTCAGAAAGACCATATTATTCAGTTGACGAGTTTCTTAATGTATAACAAAGAAACAAAATTAGTATTGTTTATAATTACATTTGGGTGTCTCAAGCAGTGGCTACAATTTGTCTCATTTGTTGTTGTCTGTACAAATTATGTAGGTTATACAATAATTTTACTAATTTAAAATTGTGTTATTCTGTTTTTTACTATATTTGTTTTTGTTTTATACTTTTTGTACTGTTTGACTGATTTATTTTTTAGCTTTGTCCATAAAATTGTTCAATAATTTTCAGTGACAATAAAGCATATTTCTATTCTATTATATTCTAATACAAAAGAGGATGTATTAAATAGATGGGTGGACCGTTATGAAGAGCTAATTTCCACAGAATTTGAAGTTGAAAATCCACCACCTCCAGGAGCAATATACACAATACACAATTAGAACCTCCTTCAATTTATGAAGTACGGGACACAATAATAACACGGTATACTTGCAGAATTTATTAAATGTTGGGGATAGTTTTACTATTTAGTAGAGACTTGATTAAATGCAAAATGCATTTTTGCAGATTTAAGAGTATATAATTGCATATTTTGATATACAGATTGAACGAAATAAATTCGGAACATACGAAATATTATGTATTTCGGCCCAATTTTGCTGTAGGTGGTTTGCCAACAAAAGGTTGTCAAATTATTATATTATAAAAATCCAATACTTCAGCGGGCTGCTGGATTCTGAAATCATAAAAATTTACGCAAACCATTGTTACGCAAACAACATTGTTCAGAGACAGATAGTTGAACAATATTTTATACAATGTCTAAACCCAGGTACGGATTTATTTTTGTCCAAGTTTTATATTGGTCCACTATTTCAAATGCAGTTCAAACAGACATGTATTAAATTGTATGATCCGTTTTAAATTCGTTCAATCTGTATAAGAATAGCAGTAACATCCATTAAAATAAAATGTGAAGGTATATAATATTCAGCTATTAAGCTCCTTTGTTGTTGTACACATAAACATAATGTGCGGTATTACTACAGGTATCACCGTCCGCAAGTTTAAGATTATGGACTTCTAGGAAAATATTACATTAGAAAATACCTATTCTTCTTCTTCTTAGAATTCTATCGTCCATTTTTAGACATAGGCCTCTCCTAACTAATCCTAACATAGATGGAATCTAATAAGATTCCATCGATCTCTATCTTAAGCAACATACTTCCAATTTATTCCTAATACCTATTAAATTTTGAATATTACAAATACTACCAGTACCAGTGTGAAACGACCACGCTGGAACAGTTCCTGTCACCACATAGCCCTCTGGGGTATCTGGGAATCCTTCCCAGGTATTCAAGAGACTAGGAGTGGAAGAACTGCTTCAGCGACCAAGAAGCAGCCTACCCAAGCTAAGGTGTGAGGTAATCGTGCCGATGGCTGTATGACCACAGGGTTTTATGTGGTCGTGAACGATCCCCCTGGGGAACCAGGCAAACCCCACTGTATTAAGCCTTCCCCTGGTAATGCGGGGCTCTGCCAGGGGCGACCAATCTTTCCCTAGCTACTCGTGGGAACAACATGAATTCAAAACAAATAAAAAAACCAAAACCAAATTCCGAGGTTGGACCAAAACGTTCACCTCAGCTTGAAGCCGCAGATAAAGATGGACAGCAATGTTCACCTCTAGTCTCGGCCCAACCGGAGGCTGGTCCAAAACGTTCACCTCAGTCTGAAGCCGGAGCTAAGGATGAACAGCAATGTTCACCTCAAGCTTCGGCCCAAACTAAGGATGGACAAGGACCACCTCGGGAAAATCAGCCAAAACGCCGCAAAATTTGCGGCGCCGAGGCAAAAAGAAGGAAGAAGGCCAGAGAGGCGATGGGAAACGCACCCACGGGAGCAGCTCATCCCTCTCCAGCCCCTCCCAAGACAAAAGTGAAAATGCCCACATCGGAGGCTGACAACGGTTCCACCTCCAAAAGAGGACAGGAACCAACAGCCTCCGGTGTGAAGCGCCTTCACCCAAGTACCTCCACGGAGGGAACGCCGAGGAAGCATAAGAAGTCACGCGGTGGTGGAAACACCGCTGCGCCTTCCCAAAGCTTCACGGAAGCTACCTTGAGACATCTCAAGGTTGCTATTATAGATAAGGAAAACCCGTACGGAAAGGTCACCGCCGACCGGGCAAACCTTATTAGAGACAGCCTAATCGAGGAATTGGACAGAAAATTCTTGTCACCCTCCAGAAGCCAGGTAAAAGCACCCACGTTTAAATCGTGGACTCACTCTGGTGAGATCATCAGAGTAGTCTGTGATGACGATGAGGCGCTTGCATGGCTGGAAAAGGCTACAGCTGAGCTCAAACCGTGGGAGGAAGCATCACTGGCAGTTGTCAGTCAGGATAAGCTCCCAAAACTTACCAAGGCCTCTCTATGGATCCCGGAGGATGCTATTAGCACCTCTGATGACCCAGAAAGAGTGCTGCGGAGGTTAGCGGTGCAAAATCCAGACATGGCAGTGGCGAGATGGTGCACCTTCCACCATGAGGCGAAAACAAAGGATCCTAAAGGACACCTGTTTGTCTTTGGAATCGGAGACGATGATATGGCTGTCCTTAGGAAAAGGGCAATGAGGCTGAGCTGCGCGTTCACCTCATTGTACCTAAAAGCAAGCACAAACAAAGTGAAGGATACCTCCTCGGAACCAGGAACCTCAGACACGCGGCAACCGACGACGGTTGCTGAGACTGAGACACCCCTGGTTCCACAGCAGGGAGACGATCATCAGATGATGGTCGACGAACTCTGCGGAGGAGGTTCCAAAACAACTGAAGATGACCCCTCCTCAATCGAGGAGGAAATGATACCTAAGCCATGGGCAAGGACGTCGAAAAAAATAAGGTTATCATTATTCAATGCAACCTCCAACACAAAAAGGTGGCAACGGCGACACTATGTCGCCGCCTGGATGAAATGGAGGATGCAATAGCACTAATCCAAGAACCTTGGATAAATAAGACCAAAATAACTGGTCTTAGCAGCCTAAACGGTCAAATTATCAGCTTACCAAGCAATCAACAACCGAGAACAGCAATATATGTTCCCAGAAAAATCAAAGCCTCCCCCATGGCGCAGTTTTGCACCTCAGACGTAACTGCGGTTAAAGTGAAGTGCCCATGGGGAAAGGGCAAAAATAGAGAGTTGATACTAGCATCAGTCTACCTACCCTCAGATGCAGCCACCCTACCACCAACAAGGGAAATGGAAGATCTGGTAGACCATTGTCTCAGTCAGAAAGTAGAACTTATTATCGGCTGCGATTCGAACTCTCACCACTTAGGCTCGGGCAGCAAAGACAACAACGCTCGAGGTAAGTCCCTTTATGACTATATTATTATAAAAGATTTGTATATCTTAAATAAGGGCACCGAACCTACCTTTATTAATGTTCGTAGCCAAACAGTCATAGATATCACGCTGGCAACAGCTGAAATATCGAATAAGATTCAGAACTGGCAGGTATCGGATAATATTTCTATGTCTGACCACCGCTGGCTAACCTATAATATTAGTCTGGAAAAAAGCCTTGTCAAATCACGCGACCCTAGGAGGACGGATGTAGAACTCTACAACCGACTCTTAGAAGATGCTCTGCGGAATGAAAAGGCTTCAACTCCAGGAACTAATATAGAATTGGAAAGGTATACGGTATCTATCCAAAACAAAATAAGCTATGCTTATAAAAAATCCTGTCCAATAAGGATGGTCCAGGAAAGTCGCAAAACCAACTCTTGGTGGTGCACTGAATTGGAACACCTTAGAAAGATAGCAAGAACAGCTTTTAATAGAGCGAAACGCACCAAACTCAAAGAGGATTGGGATTCTTATCAATCAAATCTCAGAGAGTTTAAAAAAGTCTGCAGACAAAGACAAAGAGCTGCTTGGAGAACCTTCTGTGAGGAAATCGAAGATTTCCCGCAGGCTTCCAGGTTACAAAAAGCGCTCTCAAAGGACCCACATCGGCATGTCGGCATACTAACGAAGGAAGATGGGAACAAAACTTCCAACCTTCGCGAAAGTGCTGAGGTCCTGATGAAAACACACTTTCCCGGTTCTAGTGTCTCAACAGCACCAAACCGGATGGAAGAAACAATCATACCCTCAACAAACGACTGGCATCTCGCCAGAACAATGATTAATGAGGAAAAGGTAAAATGGGCTATATCGTGCTTCACCCCTTTCAAATCACCAGGGCCTGACGGCATATATCCAGCCCTACTGCGGTGGGGACTGGATATCCTTCTGCCGCACCTCGTGGAAATATTCAGAGCCTCTTTGGTTCTGAGATATATTCCTAAGAAGTGGAGAGAGGTACGTGTGGTCTTCATACCAAAACCAGGTAGGATGGACTACACCCTACCAA